TTAATGAAATTATATAACAAATAAATTATATTTATATTATATTTATTTGTATTTTCTTTCTTATTAAAAAGAATACCAAATTAATATTCAATTTTCTTGTCTAGTTAAAGCAAATCTTTCATACAACAATTAATTATTAATTCGCATAAAATCTCATGAATGAACTATTCTGATTAAATACATTTAACACTCACTAATGATACAGGTAATGTACATTATCGTTGGAAATGTGAACTAAGAAATAGAAAGTTTACCGGTTAAACTATATATAATTTGCACTAAATAAAAGAAACAATTGTTTAATAATGTTAATAATTTGATTGTATTATAATTTGAGAAAGTATATTGATATTTCTTATTCAACAAAATATAATAAAAAAAGAAATAATTTTATATAAATAAAAAATGACTAAAATTGTCCAAAAAATCGCTGGTAAAATATGTGAAATGTTTTAATTTTATTAATTATTAATATTTAGTTAATTTCAGAAAAAAAATATAATTTAAAAAAAGTATTTTTTTTGTTGTAGAAAACTAATTGATTATTGAATCATTGGTAGGAATTGTTAATTAAATATATAAATAAAAATTTAGATTATTTTGTAGAAAATTCTAACAAATAAATTGAAATTTGTGATATGTTGTAAAATTTTTAATTATTTCTGTATATCGTTTAAAGTTTTATATTGCCTTTATGCGTTGAATAATTTTTTTTAGTTAAACGTTTTTTGTATCAAAATTCACAAATCATTGAATATGTAACTGTAATTGTGATTAAATATAGTTCATTAAATAAAATATAGTGTACTTTGTAAAAAATCGAATAAATAAATTAAAATTTGCGTTATGTTGGAAAATTATTTAACCCTTGTGGACGTGCGCTCATTCTCATTACATGAAGACGCGCGCAGGGTATATTTTACATCGGTATAAATGCTTAATTATAATGTATAATTTCTTGGAAAAAAATATTTTAGAAGGCATTTAGTACACAAATAGGAATATTTATTTAGTTTATTCTGTTACAAACAATCGGTTAGTTGCTGCAGTTCAATATCAGTTAGAGGGCAGGTCTCCGAAAAAGGTGCATTTGAAGCCATTATACCAAAAATGCAAAACCAAACATAAAATTAGTCAATCAGTTATCACTGTATACCAGTCACTACATAAATCACGGGGCAAGTTTCGAGCACTAATTAGCCGCTATAAATCATAGGGACGCGCGCGATGTGTAAAATTTACCCTGGCGTACTTTATACTACAGCTGACAAGTAGTATAATTTTAGGTATGCCTTTAAAAACAAGTCGGTGAGAACAATTAACTCTAGGTATGGGTATGTTTTACCCACTGCGCGCGCGTCCACAAGTGTTAATTGTAAAGTAAAATTTTTTGTTACAATTTACAAAGTGAAAAATATGACATAATTGCGATTAATTTCTATTATAAAAAATAATTTTGGAAAATTTTGTATACGGGTTTGTGTCTTTATCGTACGTTAAGTCCAAGAATAAAATAAAACGTTTCTATTGTTAGTTTAACTAAAGCAAACAGTTAAATTGAAGCATTTATCTAAAAAAAAACATTAATAAATTATTGTTAGTGATAACGATATATTTTGTTATATAAAATATACATTGGTAAAAATTCTATTTAAATATTTTTTTTTTTAAATTGAGGTTTTGGAAACTAATGTAAAGTAATGTTCTTTGTTACAAGTATTTAAATAGTAAAAAATATTAAATAATTGCAGTTCATTTCGGTTTAGTCCAGTATTTTGAAAAAAAAATTGTAATTTTGGAAAATTTTATACATGTCTTCATGTCTTGCATTTTAGTTATTTTCAGTTTAACTAAAGCAAACAGTTACATTATTGGAACAAAATTAATTAATTAAAAAATAAGTTGATAAAATGTTGTTTAATAGGGAAATTATAGTTAATTCCATCCAAATTGTAACAAATAAATTTAAATTTGTGAAGTGTTGGATATTGATTTACTTATGAAGGAATATTCTCTGTTATAAGTATTTAAGTATTTAGCTGTACACAATGTTACAAAATTAAATAATTTCAATTAATTTCTGTATCGTTTTATATACGGGTTTGTTTCTTTATTGTGCGTTGAATCCAAAAAATAACACGCTTGTAATTGTCAGTTTTACTAAAGTAATAGAAAAGTTTTGTTTATTGAAAAAAATATAAATTACTGAATAAGTGACTATGATTGTTGATTAAATATAGTTAATTATATAAAGTATATATTATATCGTAAAAATTCTAGTAAATAAATTGAAATTTGCGATCTGTTAGAAATTGATTTAATTATGAATGATTGTTCTTTGTTATAAGTATTTAACTGTCCACAGTGATAGAAAATTTTATAATTCCATTTAATTTCTGGATCGTTTCATAGACGGGTTTGTGTCTTTATCGTGCGTTGAAACCAAAAAACAACATGGTTCTATTGTCAGTTTTACTAAAGTAATAGAAGAATATTGATTATTAAAAAATATAAATTATTGAATAAGTGACTATAATTGTTGATTAAATAAAATTAATTATATAAAGTATAAATGATTTCGTAAACATTCTAACATATAAATTGAAATTTGCAATGTGTTGGAAATTGATTTAATTATGAAGTAACGTTCATTGTTATAAACACTTACCTGTCCAGAATGAAAAACATTGCACAATTCCAGAATGTAATCGCTGGAAATCATCTTCGCCGTATTTACGTTTGCAACAACGGTCTGTTTATTTATTTCTTGCAGTAACAGCGAACGAACAGCCTCTCCCGTGCGCGCCTTCCTCGTTGCTCTATTTGCATGACAATCCAACAGGCATCATCATAATCATCGCGCCAGGTAAATACAGGTATGAGTCTGTCGGGTTACTAGCGTCCGATCCTCTCTGCAGATCTGCTGCCCAAGGAAAGAGGTTTCGAGTGTGCGCACCCAAAAACCGCTCGAAACTTTCTATCCTTTCGACTTAAAGCCGACTAACTGTTCAGTAAAGTCAACGCGAACAAATAAAAAAAATATATATGTGTACACTCACAAAATCCAATTGGATTTTTGTACAACTTTAAAATTGCGTAACAGTAATTTGCAAATGTTTGATTAAATGAATAATTAAGTAAATATCCGCCCAATAATTTCGGCTTCCGCCACCTGTGGACTTATAACGCGGAGTGTACCTGTAACTAAAGAAGAAAAGAACGAAGGAGGGAATGAAAAAATTAAACAACAACGAACAGGTTAAATATGTATGGCGCTGCCAACGCAACGGAACCCAACAACAGGCTTCGACTTCTTCTTCGACGCTTTGTTAATATTTCCACGATGATTCTTTCCTCTGGCTTGACTCGCCCGTCGCGCGCTGCAATTGTTCACTTAATTAAGTGCCCCACTTAGCTAAGTACAGCTTAGGTCGGCTTACACGCGCTTCGGCCGCGGCCATAACGTTGGTAACAGATTCTTTGGCACGTCAGTTCTTGTACGCTATTACTGGGGACTACACAACAGTAGTATTATAACAGTGTGTACGGATACATGCCATTCGTTTTGCTCGTGTGTGCTTTATTTCATTTATTTATTTTTTTGTTACCTTACCACTCTCTTGTTTATATTCCCTGCTGGAAAACTTTTTGAAGAACAACGTTTTGTTTGCGAGTGCCCCTTTTTTTTATATGGGATCCTAGGATTTTCCTGTTAATTGTTCAAACTATGTTCGGTGAGTTTTCGTTTTAACGCATTCCTTGTAAACAAGTCGATCACGCATATTGATCTTATTGACAAGGGATTATGGTAATTATTAATTGCTTAATAGCATACAATTTATGCGGAAAACGCACTTCAAGAAAAAAATAATTACATAATCAATAAATTACATCAATATTACATTCATTCGCTCAACAATTTATTAAATTACTATAATTCCTACAAATACCAACATCAATACAAACGCAATTAATGAAATTTGTAATGCAAATAAAGTAGATACATTATGTAAAAAGAAATTAAAATATATAAATAAAACTATTTTTTATTGGTTTATTTTGGCAAAAAAAGCTATCAAATTACTCTTTTTTTATTATTTAAACATTATTTTCATTAGTTCATTTCGACTAAAAGACTATCGACAAAAGCCCGCCATTTTTTTTATTAATATTCAAACATTTTTTTAATTGGTGCATTTCGACTAAATGACAGAAGCCCACTATTTTTTACTATTATTAAAACATGTTTTGTATTAGTTAATTTTGACCAAAACACTATCTACCAAAGCCCACTTTTTTATTATTATTTAAGCATTTTTAATTGGTTCATATTGTCCAAAACTATCGTTTTATAATTTTTAATTGACTTGAACTAATTATTTTTAAAAATGATCCATTTTTACTAAAAAGTTATCGACCAAATCTTACTATATTTTTTTTATAATTAAATAAATGAAATTTTTAATTAATTTTTTTTTTAGAATATTTCTTTCACCAGTAAAAAGTTAATAGTGTTTAATGAAACGTTCTTAGTAAACGGTTTTAAATTAAAATTTACAAAAAAAAATTGCCCGATTTCACATTTTCCAAGAGATGCGTTTACCATGTAAATCGCCTTTGAATATTAATTAGAAACGATCGGACTTCAAAACAGAAATCTCGCAATTACCTGCAAATATATTCAGTTCATATTTTTTTTTCTCTATCTAGGTTATTGAATTTATTATTTTGTGCTACAATTTGCACATGAAATCTATTTTAAAAAATGATCTAAGGAATTTTTGTTATTTTTTTTTTGTATATTTGTAAGAATGTTGAATTGTATGAGACATGCAGAGAACAATAATGCGTAAACCGCAGAACAGGAAAAGGAGTATGATTCAACAAAGATTTCTGCGAAGATCGAAAGCATTTCATGGTCTCTTTTTCATAACGGAAAAATATGAATTATTGAGCGAATATAAAATATATGACTATTTTTTATTGCTAATAATATCTGATGAAAAATAGTTCAAGAAGATAAGAAAAACTAGTTTATAGTTATTGAAAATTTAAGAAAGTTAAATAAATTGAATTACTTTTGAGTTCAAATTTGAGATATTATGATTTTTTATTAAATGAAATTTGAAAATTAACATTTTATTTTTTACCTTCATTCAAAATATTAACATAATCTGATTTTGTGAAGTCAATGAACTTGTAGGAAGTAAATTGTCTTACAAATGTTTATATTATTTTAAATGATGTTTAATGCAATTACAAAATTGACTAATTAAACTTAATAATCATAAAAATGTAATTGATGATTCATTATTCGTAAATATTTAGATAACAAATTCCTTAATGGGAGACGCCCTTTAATAAGGGAGATTAAGCTTTATTATTGGAGAAAGTTAAGCAACATTTAGTTCTTGGATGGGAGAAGTGTGTCCTTTATTAAACTGAGATTAACTAATTCATACTATGAATCATAAATATTCCGATCGAAGATTCATAATTCGAGAAAGTTAAACAACATTTATTTCTTGAATGGGAGACGAGTGTCCTTTATTAATTTGATATTAACTAATTCATACAATTAATCACAAAAAATCTGAATGAAGCTTATTAATTCGAAAAAGTTAAGGAACTTTTAGTTCTTGGATGGATGACGTGTGTCCTTTACTAAACTAAGATTAACTAATTAATATAATTAATTCAATTGAAGCTTAATAATTCGAGAAAGTTAAGCAACATTTAGTTCTTGGATGGGAGACGTGTGTCTTTTACTAAATTGAGATTAACTAATTCATACAATTAATCACAAAAAATGCGATTGATGTTTCATAAGTAACTTGTAGTTCTTGAATGGGAGACGTGTGTCTTTAGTAAATTGAGATTAACTAATTAATACAATTAATTACAAAAAAAAACCGATTGAAGCTTCAAAATTCAAGAAAGTTAAACAACATTTAGTTCTTGGATGGGAGACATGTGTCATTGACTAAAATTGAGATTAACTAATTCATACAATTAATCGTAAAAAATCCAAATGAAGCTTGATAATTCGAGAAAGTTAAGCAACATTTAATTCTTGGATGAGAGACATGCATCCTTTGCTAAATTGAGATTAACTAATTCATACAATTAATCACAAAAAAATGATTGACTTATGTAACAGTCGCAAAAGTTAAGCAAGAAATGGATCTTGGATCGAAGACACGTTATTATAAGATGAATTTAAAAAAATCTAAAAAAAAAAATAACAGTTGAGACATTTTTCTGTGACTTCTCAAACGTTTAATAAATTATAAACAATAGACCACAAATCTGTAAAATGAATCAAAACGATTTATATTCTTTCCAATTTTTTGTGTTAACGAAAAGTGTAATAACAGAGCAGAAGAACTAGAGAAAGAGGAAGTCGGTTTTGCAACGCTCCGGGTTCTCTTTTAACTGCGAGCCTCGGGTTCCATTTCAATCTTTTTGGGTTCATGCATGGTTTAATTCGTCTAACCAAAAAAAAGAAATAATAAAGGCAAAAGCATTTTTGTCTCATTATTTTACAGTAACCTTAACTATGCACTAATTGCTTTCCACCTCATTAAGTTGATTCAAAAGTATCGTATGGAAAACGAAGCAAATTAATTAATGCAGAAAGATTAAGGATGCTTTAATTTAATTGAGTCCAATCAAAAAATGTAAACCGGTTTTTAATCCTATTTCGTAAGAAATAAAATCACAATTGTAAATAAATAAAAGGTATAAAAGTTTATAAAGTATGAAAAAATATCGATAACAAATTGTAAAATATTATTTTTGTAAATATGGATGTTATTAATTGAATTAAAAATATCATGTGAAATGGAGTAAATTATTTGAAGTCTAATTTAAATTAGATTTTAAGCCATAAAAACAAAAAAAGTAAATAAATAAATAAAGTAGTTTCAGTTATCCAATGGAATAAAAAAAGTATTATTTAAATACATGAAAACTTCAGAAAAATTGCAAAATAAAATTGTGACTCGACTGTGCAGAGAAATAATAAACGATATTTTTGTGTATAAACAAATATTATTTTCTACTATTTTTTTTAAATTACTTTTAATTTTGGTTAATAATTGTGCTGAAATTATGCATATTATAGTGAATACGCACTGTTCGAAGCCATAAACATTTTAACTAGTTGTAGCAATTTAATCAAATAAAAATATTAGGGAATTAAAGTAAACTAATTATGTAATTTAATTGTATGAAAATTTCAGAAAAATTGTTAACAAATTCCTTAATAATATTATAAAATCGATCTTATTCATGGAAATGAAAATAATCATTGTACGGTTAAACAATTCTGCCAATATTCCGAACTGTTAGAAACCGGACTATTCAAATATTTTAAAACTTCATAAGCACAAAGAAACACGATTGTATAAAGGTTAAAAATAGATATATTTTGTATATAAAAATAATTTTGTGCACTATTTTTTTTAGAATTCATTTTTATTTTGCTTTGTTTGAGCAAAATTTTAAAAAAATGTGCTAAATTTTTCAAAACGTACTATAGTGAAAAAAAAAAATTGTTGTCAAATTTCTTAATAATTTTTCAATTTCGATCTTATTCATTGAAATAGATTCTGCCAATATTTCGCACTGTTTGAAACACAAATCGAGGACATTAGAATTGTACAAAAAAGGACAAAACATATCATTCGTGTAGAAAAAATAATATTTTGTACTAAATTTTTAGAAATTATTTGATTTTGTTCAATTAAAATTTAGTTTGTGTTGAAATATTCAAACTGTACTTGAATCAGCTTATGAACTATGAAAATATTTAATATTTTGTCCTTTTGTCCCATTTACTAAAGACGTAAATGGGACAAAAGGACATGAGAAGGAAAAAAAATCATGTAAAATGTAATACAATGTTTGAAATCTATAGTTTAAAGCTAATCATAATTCAAATTGTTTATTTTGTAATGGTTTTTAAGTGATCGATTTTAAATGCAATGAAAAAGCGCTAAGGAAATGCAAAGAGTGTCGTAACAGAAGCACTTTGCGTAGATTATATGCGATTGTGTTAATGGGATAATTGAAAACACTTATTAATAAGAAAGGCAAAGCGAATGCGAGAGGAAAATCGTTACGCAATAATAGCAATAATAAACTCTTTTTTTTATTTTCAAATGAGTTCGGTTGAGTGTGGAAACATTGGCAATTTCTATTATTTCCTTCGGCTTTAATTGCTCGATTATGAATCGAGACTCAACAATGTCGTGCGACTTTCTTTCCATGTAATTAATTTTTACCTCTGTTAGGTGAAAATACTGTATGTTTTCATTTTTTTTTTCGTTGTTTTCGAAATTTACATGCAACATATTTTTCATACTTCGATTACTATTTTTTTTACGGTGCGCTTTCGATTTTCGTTTTGCACATTGAAATATTAATTGGAGACCGTCGTGCATGGTTTACAAAAGACCGCCCATCGAAACGGGCGCAACTCTGCATATTAAACGTCGGTTAATTGAAAATAAAAGTACAATAGTTTGAATAATCAGTGATGTCTATTGAGTATTTATGAGGCTCGAAGGTATGTCCGATAAATATTCATAGTTAATTAAAGAGAGTCTAAATGCTTATGCTTATATAATAAATTCTGAATAATTGATAGTTTTGTATCATTGAGAAATTAACGATTCAAATTAAAAATATTCATTGTTGTTTTAAGAAACTTTAAATGCATATCTCATAT